CCCCGGCGACACGCTACGCTCTGCCATCGGATAGCGTGATGCTCCGCTCATTGCTCGGGAAGTTGACGCCTGGGGACCAGGCCGTGGGTAGCGTGTCGCGCCGAAACATGGTGGGCCAGAAGCGACGGCGCGACACAGCAAGTCAATACTCCTAACCGCAATATCAACCGTCAGAGGAGAGCCACCTCAGCTCTCACAGGAGAAGCCTCGAACTGCGCGCAAGGGCGTTCGAGCGATTCCGACATTCGCGCGGGAGGCTCTCGTTTGGTAGCAAGTTCTGAACATGTGAAACAACCAATGGTTGTCCAAGAATTCGCCAAAGCCCGAACACATGTTCTCAAAAACATCATTGGTGTGAAGCCGTGTTTTTTAATACGCTTTCGGGCCACTTGATTTTGAACTCCTTGCGAAACCTCTGTTTTTTTTTGGGGGGGGGACAAGCGACTTCAGCGTGCGCGCGACGACGCGCGCGTGTGCACTTCGTCCCCTTCTTGCAAGGGTTTTGTTGAATACGAGTGATTTTTGATAAACGTGTGCGCGCGCACAGTCTTTTTGCAGAAGATGAAAGGGGGGCGATCCCAGCCTGCCTGAGATGGTATGGGTTCATATTTTGGATGGACGATGAGGCAGAATCATATGCAAATTGCAACACGGAAAAGGCGGGCATTAATTCGGGGGGGGTAGATCCTGTTACTCTTTCGCAACGGAGAATCATGTTTGGTGCGGCGACGGGCGGCGACGAGGCGGCGAAGGGGTGGCGACGGATGGCCGCATAACCGCCAGACCGAAAACATGGCCCAGACAACGGGCGGCGACGAGGCGGCGACGGCGGTCTCGTAGCCGCCAGACCGAAGACACGGTCCAGACGACGGGCGGCGAAGAGGCCGCGACGGAGCGGCGACGGCGGCCACAGAGCCGCCGGACCGAAGACGCGGCCCGGACGGCGGGCGGCGACGAGGCGGCGACGGGTGCCACATAGCTGGACGTCAGACCGGAGACACGGCCCAGCTCCGTAGATTAGAAATAACAACCCCGAAGTGCAAGCACTGCTGGGGAAACATACAAATTCACCACCTCCCGAAACAGGAATTCGCACCCCCACGGGGACACTGCAATTGACACACGATTCTGCCCCATGGTTCATTTTCCGAATGCTTTCATACCATCTTAAAGGGGCAAGTATTGACCCCCATCACCCCTGTCACATCAGAGCATGCGCGCGCACTCGTACTCGTTTATAAAAAAACACACACACATGTGCATGAACCCCTTGCAACAGCTGAACCAAAACCCACACGCGCGAGTCGTCGTGCGCGCATGCCGAAATTCTTCAAGAACCTTCGGTTGAGTATGATTTCACAACGGGGGGTCCCGCAAACCCAAAACAACCAATAATTTAGCAACTGTTGTTTGGACTTTTATGTGGGTGCAGAAACTGCGCGCGCCCGTGCGAAATCTGCTTGTCAACATATTCAATCACATGCGACCCGCGGGCCTTTCGCGCGCGCATGTCGAAATCGTTTGGATACCCTTGCGCGCTTGCTGGGGAAGGGTGGGGTGAGGCACGATCCCCATCAAATCACACCATGCGGGCCACTCGCGCGCGTCGGCCGCGCGCGCAAGTCGAAATCCTCCCAACACTTGCATCACCGAAACGTGGACACCATCGACATAGGCGTGACCAACATCGGCACCGTCATTGGCCTTGCCGTCGTCATCGTCATCATCGTCACCATCATCGCTACCATCGTCATCGTTTCCACGTTTGTCGACGTCATCATGATACCGCGCCCGTGCGCCTGAAACTAAATGGCCGCAGCGCGCGCGCGAGCATGTGCGCGCAAGCGCGGCCGCAAAGATGCGCCAGCCAGAGCCAAGCACTCATCGCAATCGCCGCCGCATGGGTTTTGCAAACCAAATTGCGGGTGGGCGGGATGATTGCGCGAGCAGTAGAGTAGACAACTCTAAATTCTTCAACATTACTTTACTTCCACCACGTACATCTGGGCAGCCCGGAAGGGGGCAAGGCGGTGGTGGCAACAAATCAACTGGCACTGGAATAACTGACGGGCCCGCGCGAATGTGCTGGCACCTTTCCGCCGTTCGATGCAACACATGCCTGCAAACGACCCGAGGACACTCAAAACGATGGCGCAGACGGCGGACGAACGCCTCATAATGTTTTCGAATGCACCGGCGGCTCAGCTGCGACATTACATAGTCAAGAACTGAATTTTTCTTGGCATGGAATTGACGCGTTGACGCGCTTGGCATGGAATGATTTTTCTGGCACTGCACGCGCGTTGTACCGCGATCCTCAATTCCTTCGCGATCGCCTGGTCCAACTATTCGGGACAACTCCCGTTAACTGGAGCCGCCCCGCCCGCACCCCATGGCAACGTCACGGTTCGCGCTGGCACCATCTGGTGATATGGCTGGAGGCAGCCGGTTTCCCAGACGGCGCTGCCGCAAACTACGACGTCACCCCCGCCCCCATCCCGCTGGGTAATGGCCGCTGTCCCCAGAGAATGGACACATCATCCTCCGCCTCCTGTCTCTCTCCCAGGGTGCGCCGAGGCGACCCACACATCCGACGTTGTTGATTCGTTTGTTCTCGCAGCCTGGCTCCCTAGAAGCCTGGACCCCTTCCCGGGGACCGGCCTTTCGTCCGCGTCGTTGTTCGAAGGCGCCCGGGCCCGGCGAGGGCCCCTGGAGGCAGAAGCTGGCAAGACACCTCCCGTCGTACTTTCTTTGGCACGACGCGGGGACGCGTCAGGGGGGGCGCCCCGCTTGCGCCAGGCCTCGGCGGAGAGCGGGTTGCCCTCAAGCAGGCAGTGGCTCAGCTCCCGGCACCCAGTGAGCAGCCCCGGCGGCAGCGTGGCGAGGCGGTTGCCGAACAGGTGCAGCCACCTGCTGCCGCGGAGGTCCAGAGAGCGGGTCCTCGAGAGGCGGCCCTGGGCCCAGATTTCGGCGCCGCAGTCCGGCCCCATATGGCAAACAAAACCATCCAAGCGAGCGACCCAATCAGATGCAATTGTGACTACCGTCTTGGATGGAGCTCTCTATGGGGCCACGAACCGTGTGAGGGGTGTGCCGCATCGGGTGCGGGGCCGTCCCTGCCGCTGGGGCCCTAGGTGGAGCTCTAAGGCCCAAGCAGGTTCGACCCCCCCCCCTACAATTGAGGCCCTCCCCCGCTCGCCTCGGTTCGAACCCCCCCCCTTACCCCTTGCACAAGGGCCCCCCCCCACTCCTGGTTCGGCCCTCCCCCTTTTGCAACTCAGGTGGGGGGCCCCCCCCCGCTCGGTTTGATTCCTTTCCCTTGAGGGTCACCCTCCTGGTTCGAAGCCCCCTCCACCCTTGCGTTTCCCCCGTCCCAGCGTCCACAGAAAGCGCCCCTTCAGAGTCACGCTGGGAAGACCTCGAGACGTCGGATGCCTGGGCCCTTCCTGGGCCCCCTTTGTCGCCCGAAGCCCGCTCGGAACGAGCACTGCTTCTGAGGAGAGGCCCCTCGGCTGCGTGCAACGAGTGGCTCTGGGCAAGAGTGCCCTTTGAGTGCGCGGCCGTGCCGATCGCTGCCTGCGATGCGATGGCAGCGGCCTTCGTGCTCGGGTCTGGCTCCCCCCCCCCGTGGCCTCCCGGAGCCAGCGCACCACGGGCCACCCTGGCGACGGGTCACTGGCCTCAGGAGGCTTGCCTGCTTTCACACTCCTGGGGTACCCCTGGGAAGAAAAACGCCATAAACATAAACTTTTGGCGCTCCGCGCGGATTTCTTGGATCTGCGTTGGATCCCCGTCCCTGGCGCGCGGAGCGCGCCAGGGGCGGCGCCTCCGGGGTCCCAGCGCGGATCCAAGAAATCCGCGCGGAGCGCCAACATTTTATGTTTGTGGCGTTTTTTCTTCTTCGACCCCCCTTCCCGCTCCATGGAAGCAAGCTTGCTGGCGTCTACAACAAATTCTGTTCTACGGCGCCTCAGGGCTCAGGTGGCCTGGGGCCTCCACGGGCCACCTGGGGTCCTGGGGTCCTCCTGAGGGTCCTCCCCGGGTCCTCAAACTCCTTCGGTCCTCCCTGGGCCACCTGAGCCCTGGGGCCGTTAAACATATTTTTTTGGAAGACTCTGGCAAGCTTGCTGACACGGAGGGAACTTGGGGGGGGGTGGGCGTGGCGAGGCCCGAAAGGACATCCGGGCCTCACGTATATCGGGACCCACTAGTGCGCTTTTTCGGTCAAGCGATGGCGGGGGGAGGAGGCGGGGGGGGCGAAATGCCACCCAAGTAAACTTGCCTGGGTCCAACATGCCACGTCCTCTCAGAACACTGCTCCCGCCCAGCACCGCCCAGCACTGCACCGCAGAACAAAAGGCTCGGCATTCGTATCATCGGGGGGCCCTGCCTGCCCCGTGGCGTTGCCAAACGAGAGGGTCGGCGCGAGGAGAGCGGGCCCCTCGCCATCGCTCGGACGTCCATTCCCCGTGCACTCTTTGTCGATCTCGTGCGCGTGGTGTCCCAAGCTGCTCCAAGATTCGAGGCCTCCTCGGTGTCGTCGGAGTAGATGGGGTCGAAGGATCGCGCCGCACCGCCGATGCGTCGGCGTGGAGAAAATCGGGCTGCACATCGAGCCGCCTCGCCGATGCATCGCCGCTGCATCGGCGATGCGGCGCGATCCTCCGATCCGATCTACTCCGACCCCATCTGGGAGGCCCTGGGAGGCCTCGAAAGATGCTCTTCGATGGTCCTCGCCGTTTTATTTTTAACTTTTAATATATATATATATAGAGAACATATGTTTGAAACTATTATCATTACTATTATCATCATTATCATTATTAATGTTGTTGTTCGAATTAATAGTCATATTAACGTTATTACTGTTGTTATTATCACTATTCTCACTATTATTATTATTAACATCCGCATTCTGTTTATTAGCATATGTATATATATATATATACACAGATACATGTACCAACGTAGAACAAAACAAAAAACATAATAAACATAACCCACGCCCGAGCGGTGCCCAGGCCCTGGAGGAGGAAACACGAATGGGTCCCCGCGGCTCTCGCCGTGCCTCGGTCTCCCGGGGGGGGGGGCCTCCCCGACCCCCCCCCTCCCTGCGGGCCCTAAGAGCAGACACCACCACCACGTCGATGCCTCCTCCCTCCTCTGCCCTCCTCTTCCTCTCCTGTGTCCTGGGGGAGGGTGGTGGTGGTGGTGGTGGTGGTGGTGGTGGTGGTGGTGGTGGTGAGCGTTTTCTGATTCGGCGTTTCGACATTGGGCGGAAGGGGGGGGGGGAGGGGGGGGTCTTGCTCCAGACCTCTGCTAGTGCGACTGTTTGCAACAGTGCATCCTCTGGGGACTCCACCCGCTCGAAACAGGTGCCCGTATCAGAAGGAAGCGCAACAAGGAGGCAAGGGCCTTGGGACGCCCACTTCGAAGCTCTTCGAGCAGGGCGCGGCCAACGAAAGTGGCCAAGGATGGACCGAGGAGGCAAGGATGCAATGGGTACCCTTTGGGAAGGTTGCCCGTCCTTCCTATGCGGGTTGACTGTGCGTGCATTGCTCCCCCCCCGGGCGACTCGCCCCTACCGTCGCGTCTGCGTTCCGCCAGCGGACCCGCCGCTGCTTGACTTCTGCTGGCTCCCGCCGCCCTCCCCGCGGAGGGCGCGGCGCGCCGAAGGCGAGGCCCTCCCTGAAACGCGACTCCTTTTCGTGAGCGCCAAGTGCTGCTCCTCCTCCTCCTCCTCCTCCTCCTCCTCCTCCTCCTCCTCCTCCTCCCCCTTCTCCTCGGGAGGGATGCCCGTCCTCATTGTGCGGGTTGACCGTAGGGCGGCCGCGGAGGAGGAGAGGGGGAGGGAGGCCTGGGCCGCCGAGCGTCGGCGGAGATCGGGCGCGCGCGCAGGCGGCCTCAGGCACCGGAAGCTGGCGCAAAGGCACAAGCGAGGTGCGTGCAGGGCCTGCCGTCTATGGGGGGGGAGCCAGCCCTGACCGCGGGGCCTTCAGAAGATTAGCCTCCTCCCTCCTCCCGCCTCCCTCCTCCTCCCTCCCTCCTCCTTCCTCCTCCTCCTCCTCCTCCTCCTCCTCCTCCTCCTCCTCCTCCTCCTCCTCCTCCGCCCTCCTCCTCCTGACAGCCGCCCGCGGGTGGGCCTTCAGAAGACTAGCCGGTAGGAGCAACTGGCCCTGCCATGTGCAGCCGCTTGAGCGGCGAAGGAGCAAGGCTTCTTCGTGTACGATGACGCGGCGCGAACCTCACGGGTGGCTCACGCAGACCTCTGGAGGTCTCCTTAAGGGCTTCTGGCGGCCACAACCAACGCCTCGACCCTCGACGACGACTACGGATACGAGGGCGAGGACGGCGAGAACAACGACGACGACGACGAGGGCGAGGACGGCAAGTAAAACGACGAGGGGGCGCCAAGGCGCCTGAGGTTCTCCAGCTGGGTTAGCTCTGCGGGGAGGCGGGTGAGCAAATTCTCGCTGAACATGAGGTACCTTCCAACTCCACGGCGGCGGCCCAACAGGAGGGAGAAGCCGGAAGCGCAGCCAGGGGGGTCCAGCACCGATGCAAGACATCCGCGCGGACCTCCGAACGTTTTTCGCACACTTCGCATTTTAGTCCTCATACTCGTCCTCGTATTTTCGATCCTCATACTTGGCCACGCCTTCATCGTCTTCGTCATCGTCTTCGTCGTTGTCGACCTCCTCCTCCCCCGCCCCCTCCAGGCTGGTCGGCCGCGCGCCCCAGGGGAGAGGGGGCGAGGGCGAAGATGAGGGAATGAGGGGGAGGGAAGAAGAGGAGGAACAGGGGAGGAGGAGGAGGAGGAGGAGGAGGAGGAGGAGGAGGAGGAGGAGGGAGGAGGAGGAGGAGGAGGAGGAGGAGGAGGAGGAGGAGGAGGAGGAGGGGGAGGAGGAGGGGGAGGGGGAGAAGGAGGAGGGGGAGGAGGAGGGACGAAGAGGAGGAACGACGGAGAAGGAGGAAGGGGGAGAAGAGGGAGCCCGTCTGCGCCACCCTCGGCTCGGAGGAGCCAAGATGCATCAATGATGATGCAGTACACCCTCCCTTCCCGAGTCCCGTTCTTTCGTCCCTACAAGGAACACCCCCTCCCCGCCTCCGCCCCGCCCACCCCCCGTGAACGACCACCATAATTGGGCCAGCCATTTTCGCGAGGGTCCCGCTTCGAAAGGGAACTGCTGCACCCGTTTATGCTTGTGATCATGGACTTACAAGCCTCAAGCGGCCACTGTTCTTTGAATAAGAACCGCCCTGGAGCCGGGCGGTGCTACATGTGTTGGAATCTCGGGTATCCGAAGTCGATGAATTCCCGGGAGAGAACTAATCTTGAACAGAGCAACCCTCCATGTTTCATGAGCGCGGTACTGGCGCGAGAGCCCAATTCTGAAAACGATCCGTGCTCACTCCTCGTAACTGTTTCAAGATTTGAAGCGAATGTTCACGGCACTACGGCGAGAACCCTACATACAAAAACTAACCGTCCTCCCTCATTCTTGGAGCTATCGCGCAGAAGCCTTGTGACACGAATGAGCTGCGGAACGAAACATCAATCACATGCGCGTCCGCATCGTATCAAACAAATGGAAAAAACCATACTTTACTTCATCGAGCGAGATGTGCACACCCTCTCGGACGCTGCGGGCACCAAGCGAGAGCCAGCGCCTACTCCGTCTCGTGGGCCAACTAAACTTCATACTTCAATCCATACGCCTCGAAGTCCTCGAACTGGTCGAACCTCTTGCACGACCAATCCTCGATCTCGAGAAAATGCAACGCCATCTGCGACAAACAATTCCACATCTGAAACTCTCTCATCAACTCCGTGTCATTAACAACCGTCATCATTCAATCAAGGTCCGTTGAAAAATCTGCCCCCCATGCCAGTAAGGCACCCTTTCCGTCAGTATGGGCGCCGGGTGTTGTGAATTAATCACTTTTTGTTGGCCAGCTTGGTCGGTGCGCTCTGAAGGTACTCCAGCCAGTACTCGATGGATGCAAGCTGTTACCTGCCTCTCCGATCACGAAACGCATCTTGTCATAATGACGTCTCAGCTCCGCCTGGTCCAGAACCTTGGTGCAGATTTCTGATGGATTCATGTGCCCTGGAATGTGATTGATCACGATCGTACTCGCCTTCGCCTGGTCCTGGAGCCAGAGGTATCTGATGTCCAAGTGTCGAACCATACCCAGGCTTTGGCGATTGGCTATACCCACTTCGGCAGCATGCCCACTTCGGCAGCACTATCGCTGCGCAGATCGATCGGCGCCGAAGTGAGATCGATCGGCCGCATTGTCTGTGCTCCAAAGTCACGGAGCATGGGCTGCAAGCCGAGCGCGTGCGTCGCACCCGTGAGAATGGCGCAGTACTCGCTGCCTCCACTACACGGGGCAATGTTGTCTTGTTCGTCGGAGCGTGCTTGCCCAGGTGAGAGCCCATCTGCAACAATTTGAAACTTCCACGCGTTGGCTTCTCCCGCCCAATCTTCATCTACAATGCAATCGATCCGTTCGGGCACTGGCCGCAACTCGTGCCTCGGGCATCCGGCTCGTGCGTGCCTGAGAGATCTGCCGAATCGATTCAGGCCCATCATGTCCGCCTCGGTGGGGTCTTCGTCTTCTCGGCCAGCGTCGAGGTCGCGTGGCTCAGGTCTTGTCTATCTTGACTAAGAAGCGAGCCTCTCATGACCAATGACCTGTGCAGGGCGGCATCTTTGTTGTTCAGCGGTGGCGGCTGCTCAGCCTCAAACGTCGCCTTCGCGCTCGCGTTCGCCGAAGGCGTTTGCGCGTGTGTCGCATCTGTCAGGTGCAGGTCCCCAGTGATGTCGGCGTGCCTGACATCAGCCTCGATGCGAGCCTCGCCCCTGGCAGGGCCCCAAACCAAGACGCGGTTGAACTGCGCGGCGCTCTGAGCTGTCATCGCGTCGGAGGACAACCGGGACGACGCCGTGTAGTCGCGCTTGGTTAAGAGCTGGTCGAACCACTCCTCGTCGCTGCCGAAAGCCAACACGCCGAAGTCGTCGCCGTGGTCCTACGGCGCGATGTCGCGCTTCGGAGGCCACGGGGCAGCCGGGCTCGACATGCGTTGCTCGTAATCTCTCCTTGTGGAGCTTCACGTAGTCGCTCTGCCGCGCCTGGCTCGTGTCGACCGTTCCGCGCGTTGTCTGGTCGAAGAGACTCGCCATTGGCGCCTCCTCGTCTACTCGCTCCTCGGGCGGGGGCTCCACCCAGATGCGCCGAGTCGCCTTCCCGTGAAAGTGCTGGTTCGCGCGGTAAAACTTGCGCAGCGCCTGTGTGGGCGATGCGCTCTGGAACTGCTCGTGGGCCCTGCTGACGAACGAGCTGACTGGCGCCTTGAAGGCCGCCGGCGGCGGCGCACCCGAGAACGGGTCCGTGGCCGGGGGCGACAGACCTTGGGCGCGCTGCCGAACTTTCATGTCTCTCGCTAACGGACTCGAGCGACATAGTGGCCGCTCGAGATCTCCATTGTTCGTATCTATCCACCTCATGTCGATGGGTCGACCTCCTTCCAACTTCACCTCTCGCCTTGGAACTCTCGTCCACGCATCGCGACTCCTGCGCCGGTCCAACTCCTCACGTCTCGCCTCTCGAACGCGTTGCGGATCCAGGAAGCCGGCGCGCGCGTCGTCCACGTGGGACACCGCGTCACATTCGATGTCCTCCCCGTGTGGCGACGGGCCAGCACTGAAGCCTGCCAGCTCGCTCAGACTCTCTCTCCACTTCAGCTCCTCGCGAAGTCCGCGCAATATGGCCTCAACTAACTTCTTGGGATGCTTCTGTGCTGCTCGCGCCCGCTTGTCCCTGACCGAATGCGCGCGTCGGCGCGGCTCTCCGCCCCCCCCCCCCCGGGGCGCTGGCACTCGCCCTCCAAGATCTCGACCAAGATTTTCAAACTCGTCCTCCAGCCAATCTCCTTGCGGACAAACGCCGTGCTGCCGTCGAGTCGGTGCGACTTAAAACGCCGCTGGCGCATGGGGCCACGCGCGACATGCGCGCCGGGTAAGGCCTGGGCTCGCCGCGCACAAGGTCTCGATCATGACGCAGCGGACCAAGGAGGCTCATGAAGAAAGAGCCCGCGTCTATAATGCCGTCGCTCGCGCACCTGCTTCGAGAACTCCAGGTGCAGCTCGCCCTGTCAGGTCTGCTGCGCCGCGGCCTCTGGGACCCGCTGGAAGCCGCTCAGCGTTCGGAGCGAACTGAACTCAGCGCGGGGGGCAGAGACAACTGTAAGCAACGGGTCCTCATCAGTCAGCTGCTTGATGCAATCTTTGCGATGCTTCTCTGATTTGAGATCCCACCTGGCGGCGAGCTCCGACAGGCCAAGCCCGAGAACCAACTTCTTGACGCGCTCGGGGGAATAGATTTCCGCCGAGTCCACTCCATTCATTTCGTCGGCTTCCTTGCCAACTTCTGCGGCTCCTCGCCAGGATCCTCTTTCTCGACGAGCAAGTCTGCCGCGCTCATCAGCGTCGGGATCTCCTCGTAGGTGTGGCCCTTGACCTCGTCGCAATCGCCCATGTCCACCTGCCTGCCGTTCTCGATGGCTGGCCCCGTCAGGTCCTCCATGTCGCCTGACCTCGCGGGCCCCTCTGGAATCGGGCTGTTCCTGAGGCTGCCGCCTGCTGTGGCCCGCTCGATGCTGGCCCGTCCGCCGGCCCTCGCTGGCTGAGACGCGTCTCCTTCGGCCCCGCATCTACGGCCATTCTGCTCTGGCCCGCCGCCGCGCTGACTGCCCCCTTGCGACCTGACGTCGCAAGGACTCGCGAGTGGACTTCTCGACATCTCGAGCGGGTCTCGCTCGCAGCCTTCTTGCGAGCTCCCGCGGGCCCCGCCGCCGTCCAGGGCGGTCCCGCGCTGCTGCTGCTGGCCGCTGGTCCCTGAGCTGGCGCGGCGCGGGCCGAAGCTGGGTCGGCCGCGGCAGCTCCTCCAGGCGGGGCTACTCGATCAGCTCATCCCGCCTGCTCATCTTGATCTCGGACTCGGAGATGGTGCCCCGCCAGCTTCGCGCGGCCGGCCTCGTCCTTCATCGTCTCCTCCTCGATGCGATCGCGACGTTCTTGTGACTGTGCTATCCCCGCCAGACCTCCCGCCATAAAACTGACGCGTCCTGGGCAGCCCGGCGTCTGCCCGTGCTGCTCGACGTCCATCCTCAGAGCGCGGCGCCTCCTAGTTGCGGCGTCGCGCTCGTCCTGCCTGCGAGCTGACAGGCGCAGAAGTCCTCAAGGCTCTGCGAGCTCGGCTCCAAGGCAGACCTCCCAGGGCGCGCCGTCCAGCTGCGCCGAGTCGTCTGACGGCCAGACCTGCTCCATCGGCAACTTCTTGGAGCCCCGCGCTCTCGCGGCGCCGCTCGCGGTCGTGATCTGGGGGGCCCCCGCGCAGGATCGATGGCCCGCGATGTGTCCTGGGGGCATCTTGGGCGCCAGGGTGCTGCGATCATGTCCGATCCCGAGCGCCCCGAAGAAGGCGCGCTCGCCGAATTGCGCTGCCGACGTCCCCCGACGCCGCCCGCTCCGACTTGCATCTGCCGTGGGCCCATCGTCGTTCTCCATGCTGAAGTCGGCGATCGAGTCGGCCGCGAACTGCGGGGGCCGCTTGGCGATCGGGTGATCTGGCGAGACCTCGAAACTCAGCGCCAGACCCAGCGAGAAGAAGTAATCACCTTCTGCACCTCTCTGACTGCGACCTCGGCCTCTCCGTTCTCCTGTGCGCGCCTCTGGGCGACTCCTCAGGCGCGCGCTCGATCTGCTGGCCGAAGGCTACGATCGCGGCATTCTCGATCACGTGGATGCTCGCCTGTCCATCTGGCTTGAAGCGGGCGCGCCCGTGGCGCATGTTCTTCGGGGATCCGGCAAGCCGCTCCGCGACGAGATCCGACGCCGTCTTGGCCTTCGCTGTCGTCGAGCCCTTCGCCTCTGACGCGCGGTCGGCTGCCGCCGGGGTAAGTTTGGAATGGGGATCCTCTATGTCCGCTGACTTCTCGCCGATGAAGCCGAAGCCGATGCTGGCGACAGGGCCCTCCGAATTTCGATCTCGATCGGCTTTTCTGTGCTGGTCGCCGCCAGCGGCCGTGGCGCAACCCTCGCGCCGCGATCGGGGTGCTGTGCCCTGGTGCGATGTGCTGGTCCAATCTCACTCTGTCTTGGTCCTCTGGTGCGCGTCCCCCCATCCTGGCCCTCGTCGTGTCTCCCCGGCGCTCGGCCTGGGCCTGCGGCGGGGGCGCCTCGCGCGATTGGATTTGCGGCCGAGCCTGCCGACGAGGGCCCCGGGACAGGCCCCCGCCGAACGGGCGTGGATCAGGCGGCCCAGCTCCAGTGCGAACGCGTCGATCACCCTGTCCTCCACTGCTCTTCAGGCAGCCCGCGTGCGCGCCGTTTTCGACGCGGGGCTGGAACACGCCTCTCTCGCGCCAGATCGCCTCCTCGATCGCCCCGTCGATGCGGCGAACCGCGTCCGAGCCCTGCGATGGGATGCGCCCTCCAGTCGAGGTCAACCGCGCGGCCCTTCCTGCCGGGTGAACTTCTTGACTGGCAGAGACCAGCGACGCGTGGATGTCGGGCAGCCTTCCCTTCGTCGCAATCCGCTCGCACCCCTCCGACTGGCCCCCTACTCGAATGCCGCCGAAGTCGGGGGTGATCTCTTGAGATGCCGCCCTATTGCTCGTGCCGGAGTCCGCCGCGCTCTTCTGGCCCTTCGCCCGGGGGGGGGGGAAGGTCGTCGCTGCCGCGCCCGAGTCGAACGTGAGTCGATATCTATCGCCGCCGCCGCACTCCGCCTCGAGGAAGTTCAGCTCCAGGGTGCGAGCTTCGAGGCTTGCCACTTCTCGAGGGCGTGCTGTCGAGGGTCCGACTTTACTCACTGGCGGCGGCGATGGCATCGAAGTGCAGGCTGCATCGTCATTCCAACTGGAATTTGCTGTGCTGTTGTTCTGGTCGGGCGCGTTGTTGTCTCAGCGGCGGTCCAGCGGAGGCCTCTGTCCTTGCTGTCCTTGCCCTTGCCTCTCGAGTCCATTCCTTTACCGTGGCCTTTTTTTCCACCCTTGTCGTCTGACATGCCGCCGTAGACCTCCGATCTGCAATCTTGGGATTGTGCCCGTATCTTCAGCGCTTCCAGCGATTCCTTGCCGTTGCCTTTGCTGTCCTTCCCTTGCCGCCTAACGTCTTGCCCTTGCCGGCGCCGGCACCGTTGCCCGCGTGGAACGAGTCGACGCCCATGGGGTCGCTCTTGTCCTTGCGTTTGGGCGCGCCCCGGGACTGCCTGTGCTCGAGGGTGCTGCGGATCTCCTCTATCATCTTGTCCGTCGTGTCTAGCCTAGTCTTGTTCATCGCCAGGTGGAGATCCAAGTCCTCAGGCACCTTCGTTTCGAAAGCTGCCATCATCGCATCGTCGTGGACCTTCTTATCCAGGCCATCTGCCCATGTCTTCTCGTGCCCGCGCACGGGCCTACCATTTGGCATGCAGATCCACGGCGGAAGGGCACTGTGGGTCCATGACCTGTTTGAACAGCGCTCTGCTTTTCCCGCCGGATGACGGATTCTATCTGGGAGTCAGCTTCCTCAAAGACTCCGCTCCGTTGCCCTTCCGGGTGTTCAGGAGCAATCGAAAAACTCTCCCTCCGAGAGCGTCTGTATGCCAACGTGCAGCTGGCTTACCTTCTCCGTCAGATCTGGTACGATATCGTTCTCATCAGCGTCGAGGCCGAGATCCTTGTCCAGGACCTCCATGGTGATGGGCACCAAGTCCTGGGCCTGGTCCTCGACCCGCTCCAAGACGCCTCTGAACGTCTCTCCGAACACAGCCACCAGATGCGCGCGCGTCTTGCGATGCCATTCCACGAACTTGTTCGCATCATTTTTGAAGATCGCTGGCTTGCCCAGGCCATTGATGTCGACGAATGAGATCTCCGACGCTTTCTTTTCCTTCTCAGCCCTTGCCTCCGCTAGCTCGTGTACTGCATGTCCCAACTGCTGTGCTAGCCGGGTGCGACCTCCTTGCTGCTGGCGCTGTGCCTCTTGTTGTTGCGCTCTCTTGTTCAAGTTGGCTTTCTCCTGTGTCAGCTGCTGGACGTGTCGCTGCAACCCAACGAAGGCTAGCCGATCCTGCTCGTTCATGTTTGATCTACTTCAAGTGCTCGCAAAAATGTGCCCAGTCTCTTCAAAACCGCCACCCGCCAGAGCGGGGGCAACAGCCACCTCCACGCCGGCACTGCCCGTCTCTACTGTCTGCCCGTGGGGGCGCCGACCTCGCCGATCTCTTCCCGCTCTCCTTCTGGCTTTTGGAAAGGAGCCTCTGGCGGTGCCCTTGGCGGCGCCTTGCCCTTGCCCGATTCCTTGGTGGACCTGGGCGTCGTGAGATTTCTCGGCGCGCAAAGCGCGGTGCGCGCAAAGGGCAGCTCACCGGAGGTCGATCAGCGGCCTGGAGGTGCGGTTGGCGGGGAGCCCCGCTCCGCTACCATGCAGAAGCCTTTTGACACAAATGAGCTGCGGAGCGAAACATCAATACTTTTGTGCGTGGTCTCGAACAAACAGATACTACACTTGATTTCGCTGAAGAAGATCTACATCTCGCAGGCTGACAAAACGAATGTTCGCGGCGCTGATGCGACATCACTGTTTTGTAAACGCCCCCTTTTCCATCGCGCGGCGCTGAAGGCGATACGTTCAAGAACGAATGCGCGCGGCGCTAACGCGATAGCCACATTTCGAACACGACTCGTCCATCCTTGAAGCTGTTACACACTTTTATTACGAATGCGTGCGGCGCTAAGGCGAAGGACGCATTTTGAAAAGAATCCGCCCTCCATCTTTAAACTAGTTGCAGCACGTTGAAACTAATGTGCGCGCGGCGCCGAGGCGGGAGCGGTATGTTGAAAACGATCCGTTGGAAAGGAATGTGCTCGCCGGTCAGGCAAGAACCACCTGTAGAAACACTCCCCATCCATATTTGAAGCTGTTGCAAGCATGTGCGCGGCGCTAC